GTCTTCACCACTTCCTGAAACCAATAGTCTGTTAGAACTCTATCGTAATAACATATCCAATGCATTATACCATTAGAGTTATAACTACGTTTCAAGGGGGTGAGTGTAATTATCGATACCACAGGGACCTTACAGTTATTTAAGCATACCTCAGGGGTGTGGGTGTAATTTACCCTAATAATAATAATAATAATAATAATAATTATTATTATTATTATTATTATTATTATTATTATTATTATTATTATTATTATTATTATTATTATTATTATTATTATTATTTAATTGAACAAATTGATTCGATCGGGTATTGAAAATAGTGTAACATATGTTAATGCTTATGTGATGTCACCTCTTTATTGGTTTGTTAAAGAATCCAACTTTATTTATTTGTTTCCCTTAATATATGAAAAGATAGTACGACTTTTAAGATACTTTGAGCATTGATTTTTTCAAAATATCATTAATTAATTAATTAATTAATTATTAATTAATAATAATAATAATAATAAATAATTTGCCCACAGTATTCGATAAAGATTTGTTTAGGCATGTGTCTGAATTCTTGAAGTTTCGAAGAAGTCTCCATCTTTCTAGTTTCTTCCCTTGTAAGTTTTTGCGCAAATTACAATAACCCCCCTAAAGTAGAGTTAAATTACGAAACATACATCTCATGTTTGAGTAATTATAAGTATCCCCTGAACTATGTATTGTTTTGCACGTCCACATTTACGATGTCAAATTTAATTAGTGATCCACATCTACGGTCTCAAATTTACTTACGGGTGTTCGTCGGATCTGTAAACAGACAAAACCAAACTGAGCATAACGAAAATTCGGTATGTCCGATTACCGAACCAAGATTTAGTTCGGTATTTCATATTTCTATTTTTTTATTTATGTAATATCAATATTTAAAGTCCAATTATAATTCATTGTTTGTATTTAAATTTACTAGAATTACTTACGGGTGTTCATCGGATCGGTAAACCGACAAAACCAAATCGAGTTCGTTTGGTTTGTGCCGATTATCGTACCGAGAATTTAGTTCGGTATTCAATATTTTTATTTTATTTTATTTATGTATTATTAATATTTAAAGTCCAATTATAATTTATTGTTTGTATTTAAATTTATAAGAATTTTGAATAAAGACCAAATAAAAGATTTGATTTATAATAGAGTAAATAATATTTAACCCCTTGTGGTTACAAGCTTTTAAGATGACCCCCTCGTTCTCTCGTAATATCAGCACATAACCCCCATGACTTATTGAGTAGCTTTCGTTAAACTTAATCACGTGTGTTAAACTTCAAGGGGTTAATCGCGTGTCTCAAACTTCAAGGGGGTCATTTACAGAGAATAAAAGCACAATGGGGTCATCTGAAAAAAAAAATTACTTTGACGTTTAACACACGGGCTTAAATTTGACATAACGGAAGCTACCCTATAAACCACAGGGGTTATTTGCTAATATTACAAGCACAATGGAGTCATGTGCAAAAATTTGTAACCATAGGGGGTTAAGTGATATTTACACTTTGTAATATTATTTGTTGTGTGATTAAAGAGAATCTGATTCCAATCCCAAAATCACAAGAAAAAGCAGCCACAGATCTAGAAATATTTAGTAACACATACATATATATTCACATAAAATCATGCTTCTACATTCATAGAAATCATTAACATAGATTTATATAATTTCATTTAATCCCAACTAAGGGCAATTTAAATAATAACAATAATACTAATAATAAAAGATAAAAAAAAATAAAAAGAAAAGAAAAAAAGAAACAAAATTGGTTGGTGAGGGACTTTCTCTCCACTCTCTTGCCCACCTTCTTTCTTTACAGATCAGACTCTTAAAATTATCAGAAAAGCCCTTCCCTAATTATTCATTTATCAGAGAAGTCCCTGAGAAACTGGGAAATTGCGAAATGATCATCTTTTTTTATTTTTTTAGGCAACAGCAACCGTGCCTCTTCTTACAGCTTTCTTGGTCTCAGATTCCTGTGTGGAATCTTTGCTTTGTCTCAAATTATTCGATTTCTTCAAAGAATGTCTCCATCTTTTTTCGCTGACTTCATCCATTTCAATCTGTTCTTGCCTGCACTCTTGGCTACAAAAGGGTGTGTCTCCTCTGCAAACACGAAACAGTATGAGGACCCATTTGCAAATATCTTTTGGGGGCACAAATGAAATATGTGAAATCTTTTGGGCTTTACCTGTACATATATATGTCTTTGTTCTGGCTCAGTTGTCTCTGGCAAAGGAAGCAAGAATCAAGAAAGTGTGGCTGCTCAAATCCTGATGACCTCATCTTT